TATGGTTTACGTCTTGTCGTAAGCTGTTACGTCGCTTTATGCTCTGACCCTAAGTGACGTATGCAAGCTACGTGAGTATAAATGTCGTTAACTTTGGGAAGCACTCGCGAACAATTTCTCTTATCAGCACCGGCGAACGTCGTATTCTCCCTCCTCAAAAGTGATCTCCGCTTTAAAAGCGCAAAGAACGGAAAGTTTCACGAAAGTTCTCAATATCGCGCCTTCTGTCTTTATTAAACTTGCTAGAAACTCAGTTTAATTCTTAATGAAGCTACGATCATGATTTTCCACCGAGAGTACGGACAAGAGGAACAGCAGTCGCCGTGCGAAAAGTTTTAATCGTCAACATTAACGCGTTCTGCAAAATACGCTTCGGCAAAATATGACGCTCGTAAGAGAAGTTTCGCGCGGGGAAAAAAAAGAAATGTACACGCGAGAGCAGCCCCTTTTGAAATGTCGCTCGCGCTTTCCGCGCAGTTCGACAATTTCAGAGCTTTGGGAAATGCAGAAAAGAGCAGCGCGGATTTGCATTTATCCTCGAAGGGAGACGAACATCGAGCGCGGTACGCTCGTGTGAGAAAGTTAAAATTGCATTAATGCATTCAATCCACACACACACACACACACCCACACACAACCACACAATACACAAACTGGGAAAACCGTTTGCAAACTGTGCAAGGTAATTTGCATGATTGTATATACGTGGATAATCCCATTTTCTATGAAAAACTAACGTGTACGGTATTACTGGGGGAGAAAAAGGGAAACTCGCGGATCTAAAGTATTCGTCTCGCGTGCACTTTCCGGTCCGCGGCAAAACTATTCTCGACGACGTTCCTTGCATCGCGTGGAATGTAAATTTAAAAATTACTTCGCGGATGTGTACGAAATAGGCGCGACGTTTCGCTGGCTCGAAAGTTGCTCGCTCCCGTCGTTACGAGTACGCCTCAGATACGGCTGACAGTTAATTCGTTCCGACTTATCGATCTCGGCCTAGAGCTTCACCTTGAACAGTCGAAATAACCGCGTAGCCGAGTTCTTTGTTCGCCATCTTTTTTCCAGAGTATACGTTTCACGTACTACCCCTTGACGAAGCTCGTCTTTAACGCAAATTATTTATCCGCGCGGACAATTGATAGCGAATTCAGTTGCTTGCGGTAGTGTGCACTGAGTACACACTAGGGCTTGTTTGTAGTCAATTTTTAGATTTGACTTTATCTTAAATACATCAAAAGTATTTCAAAAAGTATTTAGCCAAAAAATTGATCCGTACGGATGCTGTACAGATCATTTTACAGCAAGGCCTAATGCTCAAAAAATACCCAGTAATGCCGCAAATCTGTACTGTGCTCTCAGCGATTTACCCCTCGTTTAAAACGATCTTAAACATAAAAATGAAAGACTCACTTATTGTTAGTATCACTTGATAAGGACCCAAAAAATAGGGTCGAAACGTTGTATTAAACAAATAAATGAATATACCAGTTGGGTTGACTACAAGTTTCCCGTTTTAATTTTTAATCATCACCGGTAACTATAAGCAAACTCTGTCTTCGTACAAAAATTGACTATAAACAGGTCTTAGCGTGCACTCAGTGCACACTGGTGCAAGCAACCGAATTCGCTACGAGATTGCCTACCATCGTGGCAATCTTCATCGTGCCTCTCGCGGAAGACGAAGTAACGGCCGTGGAAAACCGTAATGATACCGAATGATAATTGCGGAAGCTAGCAGCGAAATATCGTATACGCGTGCGTTTTCTCTTTATCAGGCCGCAACGATGACGCACGAACGTGGCGCAACAAATCTCCGCTGAGATAATCACTCGTGCGAGTGAGCTCGCCCGTTCGTCGCGGGCTCTTACCTTACCGCAAGTTTTACTCGCGAGTCAGCCCCTTCCGCGCGCGCCGGCAGCTTTAATACAGACAATATTCCTGAGCCCCGTTAGTTTCCATCTCTGTGCTTGGGTACTATGTTATCTCGCGAAATGAGAGGAGCCCCCGGAAGCTTCCGAGCCCCGCAGAGAAGAAGACGCGGACACTCTTGTTGCTCCACCGTCACGATTCAGTTTAGATCGATCACGCAGAGCGGACTATTGTGAATTCAACCTAGAGCTTCATCGTGCATTAATCTAATTGAAATTCAAGCGACGTGACCGATATCTCGAGCTGCCGGATTATATGAAGATAAATATAACAAGACGGCAAATATATGAACATCTTGTTGTCAACAACAAGATCGTATTTAATCATATTCGTTGAGAGAAGCGCAATTGTTGTCTCGCAGTAATGTAATTTCTGTCATAAACATGTGTTAGGAGAAGGCAACAAATTTTTATTGTATCTAATTTTTAGAAATGTATCACACAGAGAGAACGGTTTGTTTGAATTTAATAAATTTTATTAGATTCAAAGAAATTTATCTTTTGGAATAGTCCAAACAAACCAATTGTTGGTTCAACAAATATGATTATTTGAACTTTCAAATAATAAATAGCTTTACTTCAAATAAAAGATTTGTTTGAAACGAAAGGAATATTCTCTTTAATCTAAACGATATTATTGTTTCATTCAAACAGCATTATCGTTTGATAGAAAATATGTGAAACAAATGTATATGCATACATCTTTCTCCCTCTATACATTAGAATTTTCCCTTCATTAAAAGAAGAAAGATAAACACTGAATTAGTACACTATGTTCAGCCATAATAAAAAATAGACCATTAAATGCTTAAACTGCGTCTGCTGATGCGGTCGCTTATATACCATAGCTGCCGCGATTTTACTTACTAGTTCGGCGGCCATCTAGTGGCAGCACCGAAGCTTTATAAGCGCCTGGCCAAATAATATAATTATTTCATTGAAAGATATTACTTCAAATAATAGTGTTTTTTCTATCAAATAATACAGGTTGTTTGAATAAAACAACAAAATTCTTATTCAAAACATATAATGTTTCGTATAAGCATATTTGTTTCAATGAAACAAATTTCAACCAAATAAATAGGAATACTAAATCCAAAGAAACCGTTCTCTCTGTGCAGAGAGTAAAAGGAAGTTATGTAACCGCGCGTATAAATATAATTTTCACGTAATGTAAGCTGTGCTTCTCTTGTATAATGTGTTACAGTATGATTTGTCTGTGTCATTTGTCTGTATCAAACGTTTATAATCGGAAATAATAAATCACCCAGAAAGATACGTACGCTCGCTTTCTATATCGCGACGCGTACAACCGTTGCAAACGTGAAAGTGGACTCGAATACTTTCACTGCAACGTGTCGATCTTATTGCATTGATTCATTCGCGAGCGAACTTGATACGCGACACGGGAGCGCCCGTAATGAGATAGATTCGCGAGATTACCGAGACCGGGGAGTTTATCTACGCAGATATAACGTCAAAACCCTCGCCCGATACCTAAGAGCCGTGGCACTCAAACGACCTTAAGCAATAAGATGTAAGCAGTAAACAAATTGACTATGGCAGCCATATTATATATTCTCGACTATGATTAGTCAATTCGTTTACTGCTTACGTCTTATTGCTTAAGGCCGTTTGTGTGCCACGGCCCTAAATCCGGTTCCGCGGGGGACGCACTCGCGCATCCGTCAGGATTAAAGAAAGACGTCGACGTGGACCCGTGCAACGAGCGACGAAATCTCGAGGCGGAATCGAGCGACCGCGTGCAACGGGAGCGAGCGATATTCGTTTACTCTTTCCCTCCTTCCCGTTTCGGTTTTGATCTTGTTCTCGGCCTTGATCGTTCCGGTGAGGACCAAACCAAGGGAGAAGAAGAAAGCAGAAGTAAGTCGCGGCTACGAGAAAAGACGACGAAAAATCTCGGCTTCCCCTCCTCGTTCGGCGTACGTGGCAAGTCCTAGATCCGTTACGTGTGTACGTAGAGGAAAGTCCTCTATTGCAAGATGGGATTCTAATATGAGATAGCAGGTTTTCAACGTCCAAATTCAATCACAGATCATTTTTCGCAACGATTACACGATCTAACAATCAATTTTCCATTAAACAGACTTCACTCCAAGGGCAATAAATTCACGACGGAGCCAACAGATGATGCCTATTAATTTAGCAGAAACTCCGCTGTCTCATATTAGGAGTCTATCTCATAATAGGAGACTTTCCTCTATGTGCGAAGATATCGATCAACAAAGAGCATCGAGATTGTGCATTTAGCCGCTCATCGTTTGTCTTTAAAAGTGGAAATAATGTGTTCCGATAATTTCGATTAATAAGAATTATTTTAGAACTGCAATCTCGTTTTGAGCTTTGTTTCCAAAATACAGTAAACTCCTCGCAACGATTAATTCCCACCGATCTCTGTCGCGTATCGACTGGTCCTATTGTTATAGCTTAGAATTTATTTTGAGTCCGTGTCGGACTGTTCTGTGTACGCTTAATTTTCAAATCGCGCAAAGAACATTCTCGCCTGTGTTTTCGTGGTGTCGGTCAAATTGAAAATGTACTGAAATAGAGGATACAAACAAGTCTCAGTGGTCGAATTGGTTGAGACGCCCGCCTAGAGTGTAGGGAGGTCCAGGTTCAAACCCTAGCTGAGGTAATATTTTTCGCAATGAATTTCTTTAATTTGCCTAGATCTAGAATTTGCCAGCCATTGCTCGTCATGCAATTTTTCTACATTGATACAGACAAGCTTTTGATGATCGTCTAATTGTAAGTGCCATTTGAGAACATTGCTTTCAACGTAAATTGAACGTATCTCCGTTTGACATTTTTACTGTGTGTCTGTTATATATTTGTCTGTTATATGTTTTTCTTTGAGATAATTAAAATAATTACCATTTTACCCGCGCCAAAGAGAGATTTCCAACAAATGAAGTTATTACAAGATCAATTAGTAGAGGCATAAACTAAATTAGAAATCATTTTCCAATCTCAGATAACGATTTAGCGGTTAAACGATCAACATACACTGCCAAGCCAAGAGGAAAACTCTGTATTTAAATCGCTTGCGGAATGGACGAACTGGAAAATGTCAAACCTAAATTCGCATTTGAAGAAATTGAAAGAACAAGGTACTCCGAGGTCGGCTACGAATTTTCCCCTTTAGCGCGCCAGGAAGGACGAGAAAGTCACTCACCCTCACCGGACTTCTTGGATATCCCGAACGCCGGTGGAAGTCGTCTCCAACCCCGCCAGTTGTTACAAAGCGACTCGGGCTCGCTGCTGAAGCTGCACAGGGAGTCCTCCTCGAAGCGGTCCGAGTCGTCGAAGGAGAAGCGGTCATTTTCCTCCCATTCGATCAGATGCCCTCCGGCGGGTCCAGCGGCCTCATCCGCGACGATTCCGGGTTCGGCGGCTGCTCTGGCCGCCCCCGCGTTTCTCGAACCCGCGCCTCCTGGGCCGCCGCCGCCGCCGCCGCCATCGCCATCGCCATCGCCCCCGCCGCCACCGCCCCCGCCACCTCCGCCAACACCGCCAGCGGGACCGCTGTTACCACTGCCAGTCCTGCCGCCGGTTCGACCGCCACCACCGCCGCCGCCGCCACCGCTACCGGAGGACCGAGCCAGGTTGCCCGCCAGTTTTAATTGCCGTGCGAATCAGCACACGCGAAACTACGAGCGCGTCCCCGACTATTACCCGCCACTGTGCCAGCCGCGCAGAGTATCGCCCGCGCGGTCGCGTAGCGACGTAGCCTCCACCGGCCCGTCAGCCCCGAGGACCTGCAACCGGGAGAGAGCGTCTCATTATTAATCGGTCTCACGGCCCTCCGTTACCGATACCTCCGCACAGTCGCATTCACGCGCAACGTTTCCCAAACCATGTGTGAAAACCGCCGAAAAACGCTTCCCCCGAGTCTCGTCCAGCTGACAGTTATTTCTGAAATAATTGCACTTAAGCACGTGTTATTATTCTTTTCCATCTTTTCTACGAAAAATATGTTCTTCGATAGGCCACTGTATTAGTTTGGAAAACTTTGCTCCGATTATTCAACAGATCACGATTTCTTCGTGATCGTTTTCCCACAAATCGCAGACTCGAGACGAAGGGGAAGAGATTCGGTTACAAAGTGCATGTATTACATTTTTATTACATTTTTTTATTACACATTTTTATGTATTACATTTTATTACACATTTTTATTACATTTTATTACATTATGTATTAGTATGTATTTTATTGCATTTTATTACATTATGTATTACATTTTCAATAATAAAAAAAACCTATGAAATGCTATTGAAACAAGATGGAATTTCATTCCCGAAGTGCGAGATATTTGAAAGTGTACGGCGCTCGACACTCGAGAATCCCGAGGTAACTTTCGATCGCGAAGTTCAAGTACTTACGGACGATAGATTCGTTTCTCGGAGCGATTCCATCTGGTCGAAGGTCGGGGCGCGAAAGGCCGAAGCAACACCGACGATCGTCCGCTGTGTCTGGCCGAAATACAGTCGGAATAGGGTCATGGGAAACCGACGGATCGAAAGTAATTTTGAAACTGCTCGCGCAGACAAACGGGTCTCGGCTCGTCCCGCGGCGCGATTCTATCTGGACGAGGCTGGAAACAAAAGGCTTCGCGACGTCGTTCGTTATGTCTGGCCGGGATAGGAGACACGGTCGGTGTAATGTCGCGGGCATCAACAAGTCGAGTGCAATTTTGACTTGGCGAGAGCTCGACGACTCGCGCTCGCGACGGAGTCGGCTCGTTTCGCGCCCGGGGCGATTCCTGGACGGGGCTCGTTGTCGGAGTTCGCTCGGGAGGCCGGCGACCGTTCGCTACGTGGACGACGCCGCCGGAATAAGGTCACGAATGAGGAAATCAACAAGTTTTTCGGGAAAGCCTCGGCGGCGTCTCTCGCGGGCCCCGAGTAAAGCGGGAACAGCTGATTCACCTCACAGAGACGCGGTATTGATTTTTCCGAGCGCCGCGACACGCGGGGCGCCTCGCAGCGTCGCGTCGCGTAGCGTCGCGTCTCGTCGCGCGGATTCGGCACACGCTCGTCCCGCCGGCGCGAGTCGCGGAGTGAGCGAGCGCCGCGCGAAGCGGGGACGACGCGGATCGCGCGCCCGCCCGTGCGCCGTAGGACCGCGTGAGTCAAGCGGTGAGTCGTTGGACTAGGTTAAGGAACAATTGACGCGTATGCGCGCGAGCCGAGGGGGACGCGAGAAAGAGAGAGAGAGAGAGAGAGAGAGAAACGCATCGCGCGTAGACGCATCTCGACGGCGTAGCCGTGAACCGCGGGGACCTTGGCCAGGGTCAACAGACCCCGCGTCAAGAACGTACAACGACCCCGACCCCGTGCACGACAGCACCCCTCCCTCCCCTTGCTCTCTCTTTCTTTCTTTCCCTCTTGAATCCACGAACCGAAATTCTCGCGGCTTACCGCACGCGAGTACATATCCGTAGGATCATGTTTCGAATACATATTCGCGCGCGCGCGCGCGCACGCACGCACGTACACACACACACACACACAGAGTGCTGCTACACGGAACGCTTAATCGGGTTTAATAACATCTGTAGTTATAAAACTGGCCAATCACAACTACTTTTCAGAAGAATGGAATGACTGTGATTGGCCAAGCCCCTTAACTACGGATGTTATTAAACCCGATTAAATGTTCCGTGTAGCAGCACTCATACACTCGCTCCGAACCTTCTCTTCGCTTACCTCCGACCCCGTGGCAAGTCCGCGTTCAGGAGATCCGGCTGTCAGCGCGCTCGTATGTAGCCTGAACCCCTTCGTTCTCGCGCAACCCCGTCGTCTCTCACCAGTGACAATAACGCCGCGACGCTTAACGGGGCACCGCCGTGCGGGCCGTGCGTGGCCAGCGTGACTGTGACGCGAGCGGCGACGATACACAAACGCGCGTGCACGCGCATACACGCGCAGCGGCGCGCTCGGCACGGAGCAGCGGGACAGCTGAGCCGCCAAGGTGCCCCATCGATGTTGCTGCTCTCTTCGTCGCGGCCGAAGGGACCGTCGCGCCGGAGGAACGAACGCGCGCGCGCGCTCCCGCGCGCGCGCACACGCACGCACGTAGCCTCCTCCTTCCTCCTCCCTCAACACCCCGCACGCAACACACACCACACACACGCGCACCCGCGCGCGCGCGCGCGCGCAAGAGTCGTCCCCGTGCGATCCTCGCGCGTCGCGTCCGCGCCGCGGCTCTCCGTCGCGCGCGCACGTCCCGGGATCGCCGCCGACCGTTGTCGCGGCAGCCGTCAGCGAAACAAGTCCGAGGAACCTCGGGGACCTCGGGACTGGCCTACCCCCATCGACGACAACAACAAATATGGCGCACGACGGACCACCTCCTGCGCGCTCCCTGCTGCGACTGCCTGCTGACGACGCGTCAGATGGCGCGGCGCGCGTCGCTCCGGAGCGCCCCACCACCCACCACATCGGCCCGGATCGGCCGGCCTCGGCCGTCTCCGAGTCGGCGCCAATCTATGACTATGTTTACACGGCACCCTAAAGCCCGTATCAGACTACGGATTGGGATTGGGATTAGATTGAAATTTAACCAATCGCAGTAAAGTTTACTAATCTCAAGTTCAGTAACTTTTACTCTGATTGGTCAAATTTCAGTCTTATCCCAATCTCAATCCGTAGTCTGATACGGGCTTTAATCGGGTTTAAAAACATCCGCAGTTAAGGAGCTGGGGCTCGATTCTTGAATTTGTTCGAAGGAGAAACGTATGCGAAATTTCTGCTCTTACAGAAAAGTTGCAAGTTGATTGGCTGTTCGCGTGGCTTCAACCAATCGACTTTCAACTTTTCTGTCAGAGCAGAATGTTCGTATACGTTTCTTCTTCGAATGATTTCGAGAATCGGGCCCCTTGCCAATCACAGTCATTCCATTCTTCTGAGGAATAGTTGTGATTGGCCGGTTTTATAACTACAGATGTTATTAAACCCGATTAATGGCCACGTGTAAACGTAGTCTATGTCCGTTTCGAAGCGCGCGAAACCTTCGGAATGAATTCCCAGTTAGAGTCGCTTGGTTATTTCCTCAACATTCTACCTATGTTTCCTGGATCTTTTATTATGTTGCTACCTTTTCTTTTCTCTCGTTCGAGAATCCCGGGCAAATTATCGTGACTGTTTATTAATAGTCGCCGATTGGTGAGGTCTGTCCAGACAAACTTGCACAGGTGCATAAGCGTATGCATAAGGAGAAGGATTGGTCTGTTTCCTTATGCGTGCATTTATGGCCCATCGGATTCCTTGTGCATACGTTTATAGAGCCATAATTGTGTTCGTTCCATCTGCATCTTTCGCATCGGAAGAAAAACGAGATGGACGGCGCGCGGAGAGCGAAGGTCCGTTCGAGTCGCATGCTCCAACCATAGACATCTATAAACGGAGCATTAGCTACAACTCTGGACAAGAGGGGTTCTGATATTCGGGGCGCGGGAGGCACTCATCTGACATCGACTCTTTCCGTTGAGATTCGGTAATATTCGGTTCATATTTCCAATACGTGTGCACACGTATTGGAAATATGAACCGAATATTACCGAATCTCACCGGAAAGAGTCGATGTCAGATGAATGATCCCCTTGCCGCGATTATCAGTTACCCCTCGTACAAAGGCTCCGTCTATAGATGTCTATGGCTCCAACCACAGACTTCTACCAGAGAGAAACCTAAGAGCGGCCACGCCGGTGTTTTACTTGAGGCTTGTTTTCTATTGCTGCACTGGTGAACTAGTGCAGTAAGCTAGAATGAGAAAAAATATACTTGTCCTACTCTAACTTATTGCACTAGTTCACCAGTGCAGCAACAGAAAACAAGCCTAGATACCGATTCGGGAGATTGCTTTGCGCGTCCTTACGCCCATTTTTACTTTTGGAACTATTTCATCGCGCATTTTCTGACTCTGCCGATAAAATTTTCACTTGGTGCATGTCTGTGCTATGCATTCTGTCATCTAATTTATAAAATTTACATTGGCTACATGAGAAAAGTTGATGTAAATATCGTGCAGATAATTTATGTTATATAATTTTCAATTTCACAGCACAATCCTGAAAAGTAGGCGTAGCATGGACACGCACAAAGTGGTGACTTTATCGGCAGTGTCAGGAAATGCGTAGCAAAATAGTTCCAAAAGTAATGCCCATTCTACACCTAGGGATGATCCTACTTGTGGCTCATCCGATACTCGCTTCTATACCTAAAGCTAATCCTACTTAGGGTGCGATTACATG